TATATATATATATATATATATATATATATGGAAAATATGCATACTGACATGAACCAGACACTGAACTTATTCCAGTTCAGTGTCTGATTGAAAGCTATGCTTTAATGTGTCTTTGTGCATGCTTACTGTGAATGTTTTATTATTTAATTCAACCCCACTCTTTTCTTTCAGCCACTAAAGCCTCCATATCCTTATAGAAAAGATAGCAATGGCTACCTGCTTCTGACAGGACACATCATAACTACCATTGGAGCACTTTACTTCTTTATTAGAGGGGTATGTATCTAATGCTGTTGATTTAAAACAAATTTACATATAACTTTCATATTCAAAATGATCCCCCCCCCTTTTTACAGAAATGACTGAATTCCCTTATCTTTTAAGTTAATAGATATGTTAAGAAAGCGTCCAAGATTTCAGTCCCTGATCATAGATGGATACACCGATCAGCTTTTGTGAGTGCTTTCACTGTCTAATATTTATCTAAGTATTAATAATTAATTAGCACTCTCTTTTTACTTATGTATTAATAATTTCCAAATACAGATAGCTTGAAATTACATTCTTTGCCAATAACTCGTTAGGGTTTAAACTTATCACATGGCTGATTTCTGAAAATTCTGACATCACTCTATATTTACATCACACAGCTACATTGCACTAATCAAACACATTTTTACTCCAGAATTAGTAATCATTAGGTGTATACGTTCATTGTTTACTCCTCCTAATAAGGCTTTTTGATGCATTAGTTTTCTGCAGGCCGTGCTCTTCCTGGCGTGTGCTCTGCTGTACTGCTTTGGTCAGGATGAATATGTGGCCTGTCTAGTTCTGTGTCTTGCCTTGAGCTGGGTAAATCTACTCTACTTCTCCAGGGGGTCCAAAAATATGGGAATCTACAATGTCATGATACAAAAGGTGAGTGATAATTGTCTTTCTTATCCATCATCCTTTGCTCTGGCCTTCAGATTAGAGTATTAGTAAAGTATGGTTTGTGTAGCACTATGCAACACATTTAATGCCTCATTGTAGTGTATACTAGTCTTTACAGTTCAGGCTTTTTACTTCATGTGTGTACGACACGCTCTCACACTCTTTAATTATTGCCAGATGGTTCTTGGAGAAATTCGTCGATTCCTTGTCGTGTACATGGTCTTCCTCATTGGGTTCTCTGCAGGTATATTTGCATACATTCATGTATGTCCTTGACTCTTTTACATTTACATTTAGTGATTTAGCAGACGTTTTTATCCAAAGTGACTTACAAATGAGGACAATGGAAGCAATCAAAATCAACAAAAGAGCAATGATATGCAAGTGCTATATGACAAGTCTCACTTAGCTTAACGCAGTATACGTAGCAAGGTTTTTAAAAAAAAATATATATAATAAATAAAAAGAAAACAGAAAGAATAGAAAACGAATAGAGCAAGCTAGTGTTAGAGGTCTTTTTTTGCTTTTGTTAATTGTATAATACAGTAAAAGTGATTTTGTGCTTCTTTGGGATGGCACAATAAAGCGACTCTTTTATTACAATTAATTTCATTTTTATCACAATGCAACAAACATTTCCCAATTACACTACTGCACAAAAGTTTGGGTCAGCAAGTTTTAAAAAATGTTTTTTTGAAAGAAATGAATACCTTTATTCAGCAATGATGCATTAGGTTGATCAAAAGTGACATATATTTCAAATAAATTATGTTCTTTTAAATTTTCTATTGCTCAAATAATTCCACAAATGTTTGTGTTTTAATGATTTGTTTCTTAATCAACAGCCGTGGTAACGCTCCTTGATGAAAGAGTCCCTAGTATGGGACGATCTTTATTCGCTCCTATTACTGGAAATGAAAACTGTACGAAGCCCTCATTCAAGAGCATCTACTACACCACTCTGGAGATGTTCAAGTTTACGATTGGCATGGGAAATCTGGAGTTCACCAATCAGTATAAGTATATAGAAGTCTTCTATGTACTGCTAATTCTGTATATAGTGATGACTTACATTTTGATGCTGAACATGCTGATCGCTCTGATGAATCAAAGAGTGGAGGAGATGTCTGTAGAGAGCACCACTTCTCCAGGGGGTCCAAAAATATGGGAATCTACAATGTCATGATACAAAAGGTGAGTGATAATTGTCTTTCTTATCCATCATCCTTTGCTCTGGCCTTCAGATTAGAGTATTAGTAAAGTATGGTTTGTGTAGCACTATGCAACACATTTAATGCCTCATTGTAGTGTATACTAGTCTTTACAGTTCAGGCTTTTTACTTCATGTGTGTACGACACGCTCTCACACTCTTTAATTATTGCCAGATGGTTCTTGGAGAAATTCGTCGATTCCTTGTCGTGTACATGGTCTTCCTCATTGGGTTCTCTGCAGGTATATTTGCATACATTCATGTATGTCCTTGACTCTTTTACATTTACATTTAGTGATTTAGCAGACGTTTTTATCCAAAGTGACTTACAAATGAGGACAATGGAAGCAATCAAAATCAACAAAAGAGCAATGATATGCAAGTGCTATATGACAAGTCTCACTTAGCTTAACGCAGTATACGTAGCAAGGTTTTTAAAAAAAAATATATATAATAAATAAAAAGAAAACAGAAAGAATAGAAAACGAATAGAGCAAGCTAGTGTTAGAGGTCTTTTTTTGCTTTTGTTAATTGTATAATAAATGAAAAGAAAACAGATAGAATACAAAAAGATTAGAACGCTAGTGTTAGTTTTTTATATATATATATATATAAATAAAACAAGCAGCAAATGAATAGAGTGCAAGTCTAAAAGGAACAAGTTTTTTTTTTTTTTAAGAATATAATTAGAATAGAGAGTGCTACTTGTGGTTACGCGTGGTGCTGCTTGTGATGTGTCACAACAGAGACCTACATCTAACAAGCATCACAGTATGATGCAAATAAGGTCCAGACACTATGAATCCACTGTGCCTAACACCAGTATACCTATTACCACTATAATTGAATGTGTCCACTCGTGTCATTCTTTACCTCTTTACTGGCCAGTAGCCCACCGCTCATTAAGGTTCAGTGATGGATGGGTCATGTCCTCCGACTATTACTTCACTGCAGAGCTGAAATGCTGTGACCCCAGATCGCGAATGACTAAACTAAAATTTACATCTGCACTAGACGGCTTAAATGCGGCGACCTGCCTGGTCTGCGTCACTTCCTGCACTGTATCCCTTTGATAAATAGAGGCATTGAATAAAACAAGCTGCAATCACGCGTAACTGAGACAGCCAGGGTCTCATTCGGAGTGGAAGCTGTTTTCCCTCTAAATGTTGACTTGCCAGTGCTGAGGTTCTCTAGGAATCACCTCTAGGGTCTTTATCTCATCGTGACATTTTAACAGTATTATTCAGTTCAACTGTGCACAAACACACTATTTTCTTAGAAACTACTGAATGTTGTTTTACTCAATATAGTAACTTTTAATCGATGTATAAGCTTTGTACAGTTGTTGTGAACGATTTATATTGTGAAGAGTGACATACAAATCAATTCTGAATAAAATTCAATGGACTACGCAAAACTGTAGGCTAAAGCAGAATTGTGTATTCTGGATGTTTAAATCCATGGCCAGAGTCAGATATGCTGACCGCTACATTTTAAGTTATGTACTGTGGCTGTGTGAAATAATTAACAGACCTTGTTACCAGAACTGACTTACAATACACAATTTGCGAGGACAATCCCTCAGAATCTGTTCAGTGATTTAGATGTGTCAGCAGCAAATGTTAAGTTGGTTTGTTTTACCTCAATTTGAACCTGCAAGAGTAAACAGCTCTGCTGAATAACCACTACTAGAACCACCAATAAGATACATTCGTTCATCACCAGAGTGATTTTGTGACCATTAAATATTTTTCCCACTTTAGACATCAATGTCAGCTCATTTATATTTGACTGTTTGCTTTGATGTTTTTAGTTTGGGATGGTCTGGTATTTCCTGCAATTTATAGCTACCAGTAGTCAAAGCATCATATTTAAAACCCGGATGAGCAGACACTGCTTGAGGAAACAGTTTCTTAAAACAAGATCACTGTCAAAAAAGTCCTTGAATACTATATGAGGGTATACACAGGTTGACCAGTTCAAGGTTGAAGATTTAGCAGGTTTTGAGCAATCAACTGAAACTGAGTCATACATGAAAGCATAAATTAGAATTTTATTTTATTATTACAAAATTAAAAAAAAAAAAAAAAAAAGAAAAGAAAAACTCACAGCAGTACAGTATGTTTGTGCTTTTTGGATTATCTGGACTATAATGGCCATTTTTCACTGTTAAGCAGAATGTAAGTGCAGTTAAAGAGAAAGTTGGTACCTGCGATTTGCACTGATCCGTCCTCTC